CTCTCTCTCTCTCTCTCTCTCTCTCTCTCTCTCTCTCTCTCTCTCTCTCTCTCTCTCTCACAGACACACACACACATACTCTCACATACACGCACACATTCGCCTGTCTATTGATGGGGAGCGCCACCTGCTGGAAACTGGGTCCAGCGTCCCATGAACATCGTGAATAAAGCACCAACTGGGACCCCCCCCACACACTCTCTCTATAGCGAACATGACAAAACATACATACAACATAATCACTACCTTACCCTTCCCGAACCATGTCAACAAACAAACTTCGGGCTGCGCACCAGTGCCCTCACAGTAAGTCAATCTACTTACAAAGTTACCGTGGTTAAGCGCTATGGTGAAATCCTACCTACCAGGCACCATGGACTGTTCGAGCGGAGCGCGGCTGAGGACCAACCTCCTTCCTCGTTTCGGGAAGTGCGGCGCTCTCTGTGCTCCGTCACAGTGGCGGGTCGAACAGCGCCTCCCGCGAAAGCGAGAGACTACTCTATCTGCCCGGTACTGACGCTCTGGGCCCCCCTGCCCTCACACCTGCACTTTTGCCTGCCCTGTTTCTGAGCATGCGAATAATTTTGTGCTCCTGGATAAAGGCCCTGTGGGACCGCGTACAGGTATAATTTGGTGCACAGGAAATGTTGGTTCCAAGAGAAGCGAAACTGGGTAAAGCTCCCAGAGGAATTGCTGTAGAGTTCTATGTTTGGGTAGGATTAGTTTCTTAGGCGAACGACTGCCAGGATAACACCGGGTAGAATTGTGAGGTCCCCGGCCTCGTCTGTTTTTGGAGAAATATAATGGAAGGGGCAAAAAAAAAAAGAAATGTTGGGCATGGTTTGGGTATGGATGCACGTTGGGCGCTGCAGGCGGGCATAACAGGAATTCCCTGGTTGTACGTGGGGTACAGATGGAATTTTCCCAAAAAGACCATCTTGCGACCGGTCTGTCTCGCGCTTTCTCGCCAATGGCCTTGTATCCTTTCAACTTTCGCGCCAGTGGCCCTGTATCGTTTGAAATTTCGCGCCAGCGGGGGACACCCCGCCAGAACTTTTTGCGAAAAATTTGGAGGAAAAAAAAAAGTTGAAGCGATTCGGAGGGCCACTGTGGCGCGGAAAAACAAAAAAACAAAAACACAAAAAAACAAAAAAACAAAAACACAAAAAAACAAAAAGACAAACTAGCGCGGCGGAGGGCCACTGGCGCGCGAACTGGGAGGATGCATTACAGGGCCACGGGCGCGAAAATTGGGACGGTACTGGGCCATTGGCGCAAGCAATGGAGTGGTACAGGCCCATTGGCGCGAAAAGTCAGGACGATGCATTCTGCACCCTTCTCTGCGGAATAGAACGCGTGTTCATAGACGGAACAAAACGAGGAAAAAAAAGAGCGCGATGGTCATACTCCGCCCTTTTTTTTTTTTTTTTTTTTTTTTTTT